TCAAGGAACTCTCAAGAATCTTCTCCAGCACCACAGTTCAACAGCATTAATTCTTTGGTGCTAAAGATGCCCTGGAGAAGGAAATGGCAACCCACTCCTGTATTTTTGCCTGGAGAATCCCAAAGACAGAGGAGCCTGGTGGGCTGCAGTCCATGGGGTTGCAAGAGTCAGATATGACTTAGCAACTAAACAACCGACCACCACAGCCTTCTTTATGATCCAACTCTCACATCCATGCATGACTACTGGAAAAACTATAGTTTTGACTGTATGGATCTTTGTTGGCAAAATGATGTCTCTGCTTTTTAATACACCATCTAGGTTTGTCATAGCTTTTCTTCCAAGGAGTAAGTGTTTTTTAATTTTGTGGCTGCAGTAACCTTCCACAGTACTTTTTTATGCAATGGTACATAACTGGTATGCCATCTGACCCCAAAATCCACTCTGGGATAAAGATTTTGGATTAAATGACTTTATTTAAAAGGGTTCTTCCTCACATGTTAGATGTGTTTTGGATAACTATTTTATTCCTCATCTTGTACAAAAATCTTCATCCATTTAATTTCACACTAATATTTTAGATTAACTTTCTAGTTCACCAAATTTTTTCTGGCCTCTTCAACATGAAAGCTTCCCATGTAGACCAAAGAACTCTGCATATATCTTCTTGGACTTTTCTCCTACAGAAAAATATCCTTATTCTCTCAGTCTTGTCTCAAAAGATTTAATTTTCAGAATTCTCTGAATGTACATTCTCTGAATGTACTCTGATTGGAAAAGTCTGGCTTAAGGTATAATGGAAGGATTTTGACACTTTATTCCATAAGTCATCACACTAGAACAGTATTTGGTAAAATTGTTTTTTCTATCCCCTTTATTGTCCTATACACAATATTTCATTAGTGCAACTCAAAAATTGTGCAGTGTATTTTTCTAATAGCTACATAATGGCTTATTTTATGGTTGTCATCAAATGGAAGTCCCAGAACTTTGCCATCTGCACTGTAGCCAAGTCAGCTCATTCTCATGCAGCTGATATTATGCACCTAAACAGAACTTGAAATTTGTTTCTGCTTTATTTTGTTTCACTGCTTTTGGACCAGTGTGTCTCTGTCAAGTGGTATCACTTTTATTATCAGGTTTGTCATTTATTTTCAGTTATGCACCCCACTTATGTATCTTCACTTCTAAAACTCTATCAGAATTATCAATGGAAACATGGAGACCAAAGGTAAGAGTGTAGACTAGCTGCTGCTGCTGCTGCTAAATCATTTCAGTCGTGTCCGACTCTGTGTGACCCCATAGACGGCAGCCCACCACCCCGCCCCTGGGATTCTCCAGGCAAGAACACTGGATTGGGTTGCCATTTCCTTCTCCAATGTGTCAAAGTGAAAAGTGAAAGTGAAGTGGCTCAGTCGTGTCCTACTCTTAGCGACCCCATGGACCGCAGCCTACCAGGCTCCTCCATCCATGGGATCCAGGCAAGAGTACTGGAGTGGGGTGCCATTGCCTTCTCCGTAGACTAGCTAGTCACATTCTATTAGAAAATTACAGAATTATTTATAACACATAGTAGACATGTGTTTAAAATAAATATCACTAGATATCAACAATTCTATCACTCAATACATGCCATAACCACCATGTATTTGCAAAAGATATTGTCAGATGTGGCTTCCCAGGAGTATCAGTGATAAAGAATCTGCCTGCAAATGCAGAAGACGCAGGAGACACAGGTTCAAACCCTGGATCAAGAAGATCCCCTGGAGTAGGAAATGGCAATCCACTTCAGTTTTCTTGCCTGGAAAATTCCATGGACAGAGGAGTCTGGCGAGTTACAGTCCATGGGGTTGCAAACAGTCGGACACAACTGAGTGAATGAACACACACACACACAGTCAGATGTATTGTTGTAATAGAAAAAATTGAATTGCATTTTATCCATGGAAGTTTCTGTTCTCCAGAGATTCTAACAAAATGGGAAATCATGTGTATTTAGCATGATTTATCTTGAGTGAATGGAAGTTAGCTAGTTCCTAGAGATTATCTACAGCATCTTTCAAAGGCTCATAAACTACATGCATGATTACTCATTCAAGAATATTGCATTAAGTTAATAAAGGAAAGGCAATAATTCACATAATTCTTTACCACCATTTTTAAAGTGAAAATACAATGTTTCTAGTTCAGATTGATGTCAAAAATCTTGTTCTCCAGTATTTCTTAAAAATTAGAATATAGCTATCTTATATATCAGATAATATTTACTCTATGAAAGAATTAATTAATAGATGACTGAAATATAAATGAAATATTTCTTGACTTGGTTTTATTTTCTTCATAAAACATCATTATATGAGGTTAACATTCATTTATTGTTCACTTTATTTATAGCTGTCTACCTCATGTTCATGGGTGCAGATCTACCTTTCTCAGTATTTACAATGTTTAAAATAGTATCCAAGGCAAAATACATTCTATGCACAATATACTGCATAGAGATATGGTGAATTAAGGAATAAGAATGAATCAGTTTTCCTTTAAAAGCTAGAAATAAAACTACCATATGACCCAGTAATTTCACTACTGGGCATATACCCTGAGAAAATCATAATTCAAAAAGACACATGCATCCCAATGTTTATAGAAACACTATATTTCAGGACATGGAAGCAACCTAGACATCCACTGACAAATGAATGGATAAAGAAGTTGTGATACATATATATAATGGAATATTATTTCTTAGCCATTAAAAGGAACAAATCTGAATCAGCTGTAGTGAGATGGATGGACCTAGAGCCTGTTATACAGAGTGAAGTAAGTCAAAAAGAGAAAAACAAATACCATATTTTAAAACACATATATGGAATGTAAAAAAAAAAAAAATGGTACTGATGGACCTATTTGCAGAACAGTAATAAAGACACAGACATAGGTTAAAGACTTGTGGACGTGGTGGGGGAAGCAGAGGGTGGGATTAGTAGCACTGACATGCATACACTACCTTTTGTAAAATAGGTAGCTAGTGGGAAGCTTCTGTATAACACAAGGAGCTCATCTCAGTGCTCTGTCACAACCTAGAGGGATAGAATTGGGGGGTGCCGGGGGGCTCAGAAGGGAGGGGGTGTATGTATATTGACAACTGATTCACATCATTGTACAGCAGAAACTAACACAACATTGTAAAGTAATTAAAAAATAAAGTAAAATAAATGAATATAAAATAAATACTAAAAAAAGAACCAGTTGTGGCCTTAGGTCTCAAATTCACACCTAAGAAGTCAATCGCTATTACAATATTCAGTCTACTCTTCCCAGTTAGAAAAACCTTTTCCTCAGTGAAGAAGATAGATACACAGTAGGAGGCCAGTTTTCTCACTGTCACTTATAAATGTATTTCTAGGAAACACGAAATTTGTTCTTATGCCAATATTCTTCCAAAACTAAATGTTTTACGAAAGAATACAATAAGAATTAGAAATGAAGAAATAAAACTGTTATATACAGATGGCATAATTAAGTCAATAGAAAATTAAAAACATAGACTTAAGTTCAAATATTCTATTTTTTTTTTGAAATATACTTTTTCATTTTTATTGCTATCCACATTCAGAAAAATAATAACAAAAGGGTAAAAGTTTCTCCACTGACTGATACATGTTATCGAATCCTATGTTCAAATATATGCACTAAAATGGCTTCAAATAAAAGGACAAATGCTTTCCAAATAATACAGTTCAATTTAGACTATTATTTTAGAAAAATAAGGAGAAGTGTGGCTATGTTGGAGTAATAGAGGAGATATTACCTTAAAAGCCCGTCCCTGATGGCTCGGACTGCAATGCAGAATCTGCCTGCAATGCAGGACACCCAGGTTCGATCCCTGGCTCAGGAAGATTCCCAGAGGAGGGAACGGCTACCCACTCCAGTATTCCTGCCTGGAGAATTCCACGGACAGAGGAGTTCAGCAGGCTAGAATCCACGAGGTCATAAAGAGTGGGACTCGGTTGAGCGACATTCACTTCACTTGAAGAGGGCAGTGGAAGACGTATTATTAGAACTCCCCTCCTGTTTGGGTCATTTTATGCTTCAATTCTATTTTTTAAGAGCACAGGAGTCACCGAGTGTTTTCCATAGAAATTTTTAAATTTAAGTTTCTAGCTAAGGAGTGTGTAATTGGACCCAGTCATCCAAAATTAAATCATTTGTATTTTTCTATGAAATAGAAGCAGTATTAAGTCTTCCCAGTTAGGGAAAAAAGATAACTTACTACTTATGACTATTCTTTGTAAGTTATGGATGCCACAGATTTTCACCATTTACCGGTATACCACATAGGAAGAAACATCCCGCTTTAGAGTTCAAAAGCAGGGGTCATGGTTCAAGTGCAGACTCGTGTGTGTGCTTGGTCTACTACTGTGAGGTCCACGGCCGTATGATGTTCATGTAGGGCTAGCATCTACCAAACACGGGGCTCAGAAAGTGCTTCAGACAAGGGAGGCTAACTTACTTCGGTAGCTGGTAACCTCCCCTCCAAATCCCCACCCTTTCGGCCATTTAAAATTATCGTTCATTCTCTGCCTTTATACCCAAGCCTATGGAATGGGGAGGAGCAGCTGATGGCCGAGCAGACTTGAGTGAAAGACCTCACCTGGCCGGGCCGAGCTGCCTAAGCTTTGGACCAGGGTGGGTTCCTTTCACGGGAGCCCGAATTCCAGACTGTGTAGCCTTGAGTATGGGTCTCATGCAACCCAGCTTAACCCCTCAGGACAGCAAGGGTTTTATTCACGCCACCACCTGTGACAGCAATACAAATGAAGTCTGGATGATACGGCAAAGATGACGGTTGGATTCTCTTCACATTGACTGGTAGCTGGGTGGTGAAGCGATGCTGTAAGGATGATGGTTAGATTCCATTCACACTGACTGGTAGCTGGGCGGGCGGAAGCGCACAGAGAAGGAAGGGTCCCCTTCTGTCCTTCGTGCTGCCTTTGAACATCCGCTGGCCGCCGGCTCCTTGTTCTTTGACTAATTTGCTTCACAGTTTCTTTTAAAATGGCACATTTGTCAGGTTTGAAATTAAAGTTGTCTATGTCGTTAAAATTAGCAAAAATCAGCTCTGCAAGTTCTTCGATATATTTGTTTTCCTGTTCACGGTTACGTTTCTCCGTGCTCCTTTTGGGGCTGGGTCCGAGCTGGTCAGGACATTCCTTGCGCTTCCGCGTCTCTGCCCTGGATGGGTCAGGGGTGTTTTCTCCCATCCCACTCATCATCCCACATATCAGCAACTTGTAATTGTCCACAGCCTCTGTCGTTCAAACCAGAGCCCGGCAGCTTGTCCTGATCTGTGGCTGTACACAGAGCAGAAGATCTATAAATGTGTAGCCAAATCCAAGAGAAATCGGCTCGGGTCGGTCACGCCGTCAGGTGCCGGCTGCCGTAGGCGCTGACCTTCGCCGCCGAAGCCGTGGCTGAGGCTGCGGCCGCCATGTTCCCGTCAAGTTCAAATATTCTAAAATAAATTTTTACTAAAAAGTGATATAATTTAGATTTCACCAGAAGCAGCATTCCAATACAAGCAGTTCATTTTGAGGGTAACCTCATAAAATACTGCGAGGGAAGCTGAGGAAGTAAGACAGGCAAAAGAAAGTTTAGCTCTTCAATCCACAGCCTTGAAGAATGCATCCTCGAATCTTCACAACTGGAGCAATCATCCAGCTAGACCTCAAAGGCTTGATGGAATAATGGTGTTTCAGTAATTTCATATTTCAGGCATTTCCTCATTTTTACAAACAAATCCTGTTCTGTCCTTTAGCACCCTGGGGAAGAATGACTTTCCCGAGAAGTAGCAGCAGGTTGACACATTTAATTGAAACATCTGTGTGTATCTTTCACATTTATTATTTTTCCCATTTTGCCTCATGATTTGATGAATAAGTAGTAGACATGATTCTGGAATTACTATATTAAAATTTGGATTTTAATATACACACAAATTGGAGAAGGAAATGGCAGCCCACTCCAGTATTCTTGCCTAGAGAATCCTATGGACAGGGGAACCTGGTGAGCTGCTGTCCATAGGGTCGCACAGAGTCAGACACGACTGAAGCGACTTAGCATGCTTGCATGCATTGGAGAAGGAAATAGTAACCCACTCCAGTATTCTTGCCTGGAGAGTCCCAGGGACAGAGGAGCCCAGTCTATGATAGAGGGCTGCAGTCTATGGGGTCGCACAGAGTAGGACACGACTGCAGCGACTTAGCAGCAGCATACACACAAATGTATATCAAAGACTCTTTTAAAAACTTGATATTATATATAACTATCTATTTCAGTAAGTATAACACATATAATGTCTTGAAACTATGATATTCTTTATTGCAAAATGAAAAACAATTTCAAAGCAATACATAAATTATGAACTCATTTTTGTAAAAATGTGCATATAGACATAAATCAGAGCTTGTTTCTGTAAAAATGTGTGTGTATATGTATAAACAATTCAGAGTGGTCTAAGTGGTAGGATTTTACATAGCTGTCTGTTTCAATTTCAAAAATCAAATTTCCTTTTAATTTTGCAATAATAACCAATTTTTAAAAGTCTGATAATTGATATAAACATCCAAAATAACAAAACAGATAAACATATAACCCATAAATACCTATATAACAAAAAAAAATCCTTACTTAATCAGAGAGCATGTCATCAATCACTGATTACTTCAAAAGTATACCATCATTTTTTTCTTAGAAAAAATTAGCTAATCATAAAATAGAACTATTTCATGTGTATTTTGAACAAAATTCAAGTTGCAAAACACAATGTTTATCTATGTATAACATATTTGAAAATCTTGGATAAGGCAGAAAACCAAAAAAGGTTGACTGGTTTGATCCCCTTGCTGTCCAAGACTCTCCAGAGTCTTCTTCAGCACCACAGTTTGCAAGCATCAGTTCTTTGCTGCTCAGGCTTCTATATGGTCCAACTCTCACATCTATTCATGACTACTGGAAAAACCATAGCTTTGACTATATGGATTTTTGTCAGTAAAGTGATGTCTCTGCTTTTAAATACACTGTTTGTCACAGCTTTTCTTCCAAGAAGCAAGTGTCTTTTAATGTCGTGGATGCAGTCACCATCCACAGTGATTTTGGAGCGCAAGAAAATAAAATCTGCCACTGCTTCCACTTTTTCCCCATATATTTGCCATGGAGTGATGGGACTGGATGCCATGATGACGGTTTATTGAATGTTAAGTTTGGGGTTTTTTTAATTAATTTATTTATTTTAATTGGAGGCTAATTACTTTATAATATTGTAGTGGTTTTTGCCATACATTGACATGAATCAGCCATAGGTGTACATGTGGTCCCCATCCTGAACCCCCCTCCCCCCTTCCTCCTCATCCCATCCCTCAGGGTCATCCCAGTGCACCAGCCCTGAGCACACTGTCTCATGCATCGAACCTGGGACTGGCGATCTATTTCACATGTGATAATATACATGTTTCAATGCTATTCTCTCAAATCATCCTACCTTCACCTTCTTCCACAGAGTCCAAAAGTCTGTTCTTTACGTCTGTGTCTCTTTTGCTGTCTCGCATATAGGGTCATCATTACCATCTTTCTAAATTCCATATATATGCGTTAATATACATATTGGTGTTTTTCTTTCTGACTTACTTCAGTCTGTATAATAGGCTCCAATTTCATCCACCTCATTAGAACTGATTCAAATGCATTCTTTTTAATAGCTGAGTAATAGTTCATTGTGAATGTTGAGTGTTAAAGTAGCCTTTTCACTCTCACTTACCCTCATCAGGAGGTTCTTCAGACTTTGTTCACTTTCTGCCACAAGAGTGGTATCATCTGCATATTTGAGGTTGTTGATATTTCTCCTGGCAATGTTGATTCCAGCTTGTGATTTATCCAGCCCATCATTTCTCATGATGTACTCTGCGTATAAGTTAAATAAGCAGCGTGACAATATATAGCTGTGATATACTCCTTTCCCAATATGGAACTAGTCTGTTGTTCCATGTTCGATTCTAACTATTGGTTCTTGACCTGTATACAGATTTCTCAGGAGACAGATAAGGTGGTCTGGTATTCATCTCTTTCAGAATTTTCCACAGTTTGTTGTGATCTACATAGTCAAAGGATTTAGCATATTCAGTGAAGCAGAAGTAGGTGTTTTTCTGGAATTTTTCTTGCATTTTCTATGACCCAGTTGATCTTTTGTTCCTCTACTGTCTCTAAATCTATCTTGTACATTTGGAAGTTCTTGGTTTACATTGTGCTGAAACCTAGCTTGAAGGGTTTTGAGCATTACCTTGCTAGTATGTGAAATGAATGCAATTATATAGTAGTTTGAGCTTTCTTTGGCATTACTCTTCTTTGGGATTGGAAAAAAAAACCTGACCTTTTCCAGTCCTGAGGCCGTTGTTGAGTTTTCCAAATTTGGTGACATATTGAGTGCAGTACTTTAACAGCATCATCTTTTTGGATTCTAAATAGTTCAGTTGGAATTCCATCACCTCTACTAGCTTTGTTCATAGTAGTGTTTTCTAAGGCCCTCTTAATTTCACATTCCAGGATGACTGGTTCTAGGTGGGTGACCATACCATCATGGTTATCTGAGTGATCAAGACCTTTTTTGTACCATTCTTCTGTGTATTCTTCTCAACTTTTCTTAATCTCTTCTATTTCTGTTAGGTCCCTGATGTTTCTGAACTTTATTGTACCCATCTTTGCATGAAATATTCCCTTGCTATCTCCAATTTTCTTGAGGAGATCTCTAGTCTTTCTTATTCTATTGCTTTCCTCTATTTCTTTGCATTGTTCACATAAGAAGACTTTTTTTTTTTAATCTCTCCTTGCTATTCTCTGGAACTCTACATTCATTTGGGTGTATCTTTTCCTTTCTTCTTTGCCTTTCACGTCTCAATTTTTCTCAGCTATTTGTAAGTCCTCCTCAAACAACCACTTTGCCTTCTTGCATTTCTTTTTCTTTGGGGTGGTTTTGGTTATTGCCTCCTGTACAATGTTATGAACCTCTGTCTATAGTTCTTCAGGCACTCTGTCTACCAGCTCTAATGCCTTTATGTCTGTTCATCACCTCCACTGTATAATCATAGGGATTTGATTTAGATCATAACTGAACTGCCTAGTGGTTTTCCCTATTTAGTTCAATTTAAGCCTGAATTTTGCAATACAGAGCTGATGATCTGAGCCACAGTTAACTCCATGTCTGTTATTGCTGATTGTGTAGAGCATCTCCATCTTTGGCTGCAAAGAATATAATCAATCTGATCTCAGTATTGACCATCTGGTGATATCCATGTATAGCGTCATCTCTTGAGTTGTTGGGAAAGTGTGTTTGCTAGGAGCAGTGTGTTCTGTAGACAAAGCTCTGTTGATATTTACCCTGCTTCATTTTGTACTCAAAGGCCAAACTTGCCTGTTACTCCAGGCATCTCTTGACTTCCAACTTTTGCATTTCAATGCAAATTTTTTTGGTCTTAGTTTTGGTCTTAGTTCTAGAAGGTCTTGTAGGTCTTCATAGAAACTGACTTCAGCTTATTTGGCATTAATGGTTAGGCACAGACTTGGATTACTGTGATGTTGAATAGTTTGTCTTGAAAATGAACTGATATCGTTCTGTCATTTTTGCGATTGCACTTGAGTACTGCATTTTGGACTCTTTTGTTGACTGTGAGAGCTGCTCCATTTCTTCTTAGGGATTCTTGCCCATGGTAGTAGATACAATTGTCATCTGAATTCAATTTCTCCATTCCTGTCCATTTTAGTTCACTAATTCCTAAAATATCAATGTTCATTCTTGCCATCTCCTGCTTGACTGCATCCAATTTACCTTGATTCATGGACTTAACATTTCAGGTTCCTATGCAATACTGTTCTTTATAGCATTGGAATGTATTTTCACCACCAGACACATCCACCACAAAGTGTCATTTCTGCTTTGACCCAGCCTCATTCTTTCTGGAGCTATTTCTCTGCTCTTCCCCAGTAACATTCTGGGCACCTACTGACCTGAGGGGTTCATCTTCTGGTGTCATAACTTTTTGCTTTTTCATACTGTTCATGGGGTTCTCAAGGTAAGAATACTTACGTAGTTTGCCATTCCCTTTTCCATTGGACCCACTGAACCATGTTTTGTCAACTCTCCAACATGACCCATCTGTCTTGGGTAACTCTACACAGCATGGCTCATAGCTTAAGTAAACTTAATAAACTAATTTGATCCAAA